CTTGATTAAAAAAAAAAATTTTGAGTATTAATTGTGAAAATATAAATTATTAGTCTTACTGACCTTTAACATTTTAAATTTAGTATGTGTATGTTCACATGCTTCACGATTTCAATGTAAAATTAAAATGTAACATTCAAGTATATATGTACATTATATTAATGGCTCTGCAATGTAAGCATCATTCCATTTTTTATTAATGCAGTTACTGTTTCTCTCCATAGGGAACACATAAAGGAGGTGGTTAGGCTTCTGGGATGGCTCAACGCTTTAGACCACGTGATCACGGTTGCGTCAGCACACGGTATTAAAGATATAAAGACTCTCCTCGAGAACAAATGAAAGGCAAAGCAATGGGACGCCTGCCTCACTGACCGTTTTTGGATGAACCACACCATGTAAATACTGTGAATATTGTACATTTATTTGTGCGGCTGAAGGGTTTCCTTTGGGGACACATTGATGGAATCTAGTGAAGTTTCTCCTTCAATACAGTTGAAATTTAGTGGAAGTGGGTTTGAAGTGCACTCTGCTGTGTTAAGACTTTTGCAATTCTTTACCTGAGGAGAGGTCACTTCTTTTTACTTATTTTTTTAATGGATGGAGTCTCTTAATGGATTTTTTAAACTGTCCATCACTGCAGTATCATTACCTGCAAGAAAAGACCACTTTACAATTCACACGTGGGTACTGTGCTCTTTCCCTTCCACAAAGGCTGCACTAAAGCTGATTTCTGAGAGCAGGATACATACTTCATATTGTAAACATTCAAAAAAAATTATGCACAGCCATGGGTTGAATAATCCAGCATCTGTGCCCATCTTAAAAACAGAGTTTCGCTCATGTGCCAACCTCATCCCTAATCAAATGAACATGACATGCTGGCAAACAAAACCATGTGCTACTGTAACAAATGTACTTATTTTTTGTTGTTTTCCTGGAGCTTGAAATGTTTTATTTGCATAAATAAAAGTGTTAATAATATTCAGGATAAATTCCTTCCTTTATATACAACTGTGTTTGAAAGTATATTGGAAATTTGGGGTTTAAAATATAGGCTAGTTTAGGAGTTCTCAACTCTGGCCCTCGAGATCCACGTTCCTGCAGAGTTCAGCTCCAACCCTAATCAAACACCTGAACAAGCAAATCAAGGCCTTCAGGATTGCTAGAAAGTTACAGACAGGTGAGTTTGATCAAGGTTGGAGCTAAACTCTGCAGGAAAGTGGATCTCGAGGGCCAGAGTTGAAAACCTCTGGGCTAGTGTCTGCCTTAGTAAAAAAAAAAACTAGTAATTGTGACTTTACACTTCACAACTGCATTTTAATACAACACAATTGCAGTTTGATTTCTTCAAAGGTATAGTTCACAGCAAATTTTTGTGACTTATTCCTCATAATCGCAACTTTATCATGCAGTTTGACTTGTTTATTGTAATTATGACTTAAAATCTCACAATGTGACTTTTTAAGAACATTCATTTTTTACTCTTATAATGGAAACAGCCTTCCATTGTAATTACACTAGTTAGTGCATATAAATGTAAAGATTTGAGGATATGATTCTTTTTACATGCAGTTAAGAGTTTTCATATAAAACACTTCATAATTATGTCAACAGTTTCCTCGGGTGGCTATTTAGCTGTGCTTTAACTTGAGGTAGATAGAGATATACTCAGATTCTATAGAAGCATTTGTTTAAATCCAAGCCAGAGAGCACAGTTGGATGTTATTTTAGTTTTTAGGAATATGTGACTGTCGTTATCTGCTATTGTCTCCCCCCCCCCCCCCCCCCTTTTTCATACACTGGGTTAGATACATCTATGCGGACACTATGGGGACTGCCGCCAGCAGGACCGGTATCTGAAGCACATGTGAAACAACTCCAATCCTATCGGCCAACGTAGCTCGTGAAGTCACAGACGGGCACCTGGTAGTATAAGAGGGCACCTGCAGAACACATCACCAACTTTTGTTGTCTTCAGGAGCCGTCTGTTTGTTCAGTGTGTGTGAAGCATTATCCTGGTGAATCGAGCAGCGATTTATCTCGGCTCATGGTGATTGCTTTGATCTGCGGGATCCGCATACCCTCTCTTAACAAGTTGCCTGATGCTGCGAATAGAGTTTGTGTTATGACGATGAAGTGTGAGCACCGAGTCGTTTTAGCCCCGTGGATATATTTAGATGCTCTGTGGAGAGATGCTTGAGAGCTTTCTCTCCCAGGATGTTTTGGTGACCTAGATTGGTTTGGGGGTGTTCCCTGACAGCTGTTGTGCCGCGCCTCACTCAGTTTTCTGCTGCTAATGCTTGAGAGCGTTGGTTGCCATGATGGTCATGATGTTGCATCTGTAGTTAGATTGGCTTTCTGGGCTCCTTTAACATATCCATCAAGGCGGTGGTCTATGAGTTCAGTAAGACATGGGTGCGGTCGGCGGCTTTCAGGAGGTTCATTCTTAGCCGGTTCTTCTTTACCTCTGAGGGGTCTGGCTCATCATGTTCTGAGGATCATAGACGGGGCTAGTGAGCCAGCACTCTCCTGCTCCTCCCCCTTTCGGGAGTCAAGCGCAGAAGATGATTACCTTGCTCCACCTCCAGAGCGTTTTCTCAGCCTGGGTAGTAAGGTTGGGCGGCCTTCCCCTCATTTCCCCACATGCTAATTATGGGCTTTAACCCCCTTTGTTAGGGTTTTTCAAGTGGATGGCCTATTGATTTTGGAACATAGTTGTTTAAGGACAGCTGTATTCCTTGCTTGATTTTAGGGAATGTCCCTTTCTGTGTTAAGCTGGATGGGTTTAGGAGTGGGCTGCCTCCCCAGGTCTCAGGGTATTTTTAAGTGGGCAGTCCCTCTGAATCCCGCAATATTAAGTTTGGGCTGAGTAGACTGTTCCCCCTCCTCAGAGCTTTTAAGTGGACAGTCCCTGCTCAGAGAGTAGCTGTCTGCTGATACTTATACTCCAGCTCAAACTTACTTTGCTCTGGAATAGCGGTCTGAGGGCAGCTGTGTTCCAGCCTGGCTTCTATGACTAGGTTGGGTTCCTCTTGGCACAAGTCCTCTCAAGTAGGCGCTGAGTCCTTGCCTTGGAAGATAGCTACCCGAGGATAGCCGTGTTTTAGCTCAGTACTACCCCCTTGTCAAGGTTTCAAGTAGTGGTTTTTGAACCTCTTGCCTGGATTGTGTTATCTCCCCTGTTAGGGTTTTAAGTAGATTGCCCAGACCACGGAAAGTGGGCTATCTTCAGCCTTGCCTGAGGAAACTGCTATTCGAGGATAGCTGTGTTCCAGCTCGGCGACTACACCCCTTATTAGGGTATTTAAGTAGTGGTCTCCTTGAGCCCCTTGCCTAGACTGTGCTGTCTCCCCGTTAGGGTTTTAAGTAGATAGCCCACTCTCTGTGGTCTTGGCAATCCTCATTTAGGACCTTTGGAGGATAGCTATCTGAGGATAGCTGTTTTCTAGCTTGGTGACTACTCCCCTTACTAGGGTTTTTAAGTAGTGGTCCCCTGGAGCCCCTATTTAGACTCTGCTATCCCCCCTGCTAGAGTTTCTAAGTAGGTAGCCTCTATCTGTGGTCCTTGTATTATCATGCTAAGGGGTTGCTCACATAACATGGGTATCTGAGGGTAGCTGTGTTCTTAACTTGGTGTGGATGTTCCTCTTTCGTCTGAAACTGGGTTCCCAATTTCTGCCAAGCTATATGAGTGGCCCGGGCCATCAGTGGCTTGGCCCCTTTCTGAGGAAAGGTTTAGTGTATGTCTGTCACTTCCTTGGTGCTCTCTCACCAATAGCATAGTTGGTGTTCCATTCCGCATAGTCTCTGCTAGAGGACACAGCACGAGTTCCCTAGAAGGGGATCGTCTCTGGTTACGCATATAACCATGATTCCCAGAGAGGGAACAAAATGCTGTCACCTCGCCATGCCTCCGGCCTGCCTGTTTCACGTCTCCTTCAGACAACTAAGTTGGTGACGTGTTCTGCAGGTGCCCTCTTATACTTCCAGGTGCCCACCTGTGACATCACGGGCTACGTGGGCCAATAGGATTGTAGTCGTTTCACACGCACTTCAGACACCGGTCCTGCTGATGGCAGTCCCCTAAGTGTCTGCTAGAGGACGCAGCGTCTCATTCCCTCTCACGGAAGCATGGTTACATGTGTAACCCAAGACGTTTTTCATTCGTTTTAGGGACAGTCACTGAAGGTATGGAGGCTCCTATTGTTTTTGGCTGGGAGTCTATGGCAAATTGTCTATGGTGAAATTTGGCACATTAAGAGGTGAGAGTCTGAACTTGTCTGGTCTTGATTTCAAACCGCTAGTGCCACCCTCTTGAACCATGTTTTTTTTCTATTGATTTCTTGGTTCATTCTAAAAGACATGCATATGGATGCCAATTTCTGCCACATAAGATAAAAAAGGTATGCTTTGGTAAATCCTAATTATAACAAGTTGACATTGAGATACTAAAGGTGCAGTTACATAAACCCGTTTCATAATGTTGTCTTATGACATACTGACTTCTCAAAATTGTGAATTTTTATCTCATAATTATGGCTTAGTATCTCATGTTTTACTTTGTCATAATTGATTTACCAAAGCATGGTTATTTTCTTATGCAGAAATACATGTATACCTTATTTTGCCGGAGTAGATGTTCTGAAGTTTCTAATTTTGATGAAATTCTACCGTTTCCAAACCTTCCTTGAGTGTTTATGGAATCTTTACCTAATTTAGCCTAGAACTGTTGTGTGTCCGCCATTTTCCCAACAAATAATAAATAGCCTACACCAAGCTAAATTTTACTTGTATGTGGTATTTGCTTTTAATATATTTATCTGGATTTAAGAATTTTTTGGATCAAGGTTTTAGTGTAGGCTGCAACTTCATCCTTTCCTAAATTAAATTAATTGTATTTGAGCTGCAAACTTTCTTTTTATTGCTTTAAAGATTTAACCCTAAATTTTACTCTTTGCATGCCGGTTTCTTTCCAGCGAATAGCAAAAGTCGGGAGGAGCATGTACAAAACCGCGATGAAACTTGATCCATGTACCTTACAAATCGCAAATGACCCCCACACACACACACACACACACACCACCTGTCAGGAGACTCAGCCCACATAACCAAAGACGCCTGAGCCGGAGGACACAATCTGAGAGAAGTTTTTCAGCAACACAAGTATCACTGGATCCTATCTGTTCTGCTCTGAGACCAGCTGCAAGGTAAGACCAACATCTGGTACAGCCAACCCAGTTGCTCTGGCGTTTTCTAAATCGTCCATCGGTTCTGAAAATGTATTTAATTAATGCTCTCTTACTATAATTATAGTTGCAAATCAATCAATCTGAAACTCGCGCGGACGGGTAGCACATGGTGGTTTAATTCACAGCAGCGCTCCGTTATCAGGCAGGGCAGGAAAACGTGGGACGGGGCGCACGGGGTCTCCCGCCTTGTAATGTGATCTATCCTGCAGGGGAAAAGAAGACATTAAAATGTTTTTAGGTTTATAAAAACTTCCGCTGCTTAAATATGGGATGATATTAGACTCTAAATGATTAATAGATGCACGCACAATTATCCATGTACTGCATACATTTTATACATGTATTTTACTAACCACAAACAAATGTCTTTCAATTTGAGTCTGTGGAATTCGGGATTAAATGATTGTGCAGCAATTTGTACAAATAAAGAGATGTTTGCAAATAAAAATGTTCTGTTCTGCATTCATATATCATAAATTGCTCATGCAAAAAGGAATCTATGTGCATCTATTAATCATTTAGAGTCTAATATCATCCCATACTTAAACCTGTGATTTGGTGTGAGACGCTACAGCTTCGTTTATTATAGATCGTGAGCGTTCTGGTTTAGTCGCGTCGCGTCGAACGCGTGCAGTATGTATGTGGCGTTATGCGCGTTTAATGGTATTTTATTATTTTGACCAATATTATTTTGTCGCATTTCGTCTGTTCTTTGCCAGTTTATAATTTTTTTTATTTACTTATTTTTAAGAATCGAAGTAGCATCATGTAGTCGATCCTCTGAACAGAAAAATACCAAGTAAACTAAATAAACTAGAAAAGCATTTTAGGTACGGCTAGTATATGTAAATAAAATAATGAAATAAAGTACACTGACAAATAAAAACAAAATAAGTTAAATAAAAAGTGGGGAAAAAAATCTTAAAAAAAATTAAAGAATATGTTACATTAGAATATTTTTTTTTTGTACTTCACATGTTGTATGCCACACGTTTAATAATTAAATGCATTAAATTGGTCTGCACTGCAGATAAATCTTTTTCTATTTATAAGTGAGCTGGAGTCTCTTCTGCTCTTAAGAGTAAACTGATCTAAAAGAGAGAGGTGTCACCTCATGCCATAAGAGTAGCAGTAACTTGAAAGATTATTATCAGAATGTCATTATATTTTTCAGACAGTCATTATATGATTTATATTTTAAAAAATGGAAGATTTTAATCAATTGGTGAAGAGTCCGAGTGTTTGTATACATTTTACAGTGCTGAAAATAAATAATTTGAAATTATTACATGCTTTATTATATTATGTGTTAATAAGCAATGTTTTCTCATTGCAAACATGGAAAACCTTGTTCCATCAACACTCACTAACACATGCCATACCAAGTGCTGTATTTATATGTAAACAATCCAAACGTGCTGCCACTAGGAGAAGCTTTCTGTTGAATGGGGCCAGTAGGGGGTCTTTAATTTACATCTGAGTCACTGTATATGAAATGCTTCTTCCTCAGACCAGATGCTTTCTTCAACAAAGAGGTCTTTTAATGCTCCAGACTTCAGAAATCCTCTGATAGCTGCTTGTAGGTCAGAGGAATTATTCGTAAAATGTTTTTAGATAACTGTAGAATGTTTCCATATTACACAAATCACAGTCAAGGGCTTTATACAAGACAGCTCTGATGATCTTTGACCGTTTACACTGTTATTTATTTGCTTTTTGATGCTATAGATAGAGATACTACACGCACACACAAAAAAAATTACGCATGTGGGTGTGTTTAATGAATCCCAAACTCAGTGTTGTTGACCCTTGCAATATTATTACATTCCTCGAAAAGCTTTTTTGTGATGGTGCAATATGAAGTTCATAACACCTTCAATTCTACATTTATTTGTCATTTCAAATCGAAAGGAATTTCATTTTATTTTATGAGATTTACTGGCTCAGGATAAAAAAAAAACATGAGCTATCTATAGTAGGACGTAGAAGTGTCTTGAGGTGACTTGTGACCTCATGGACTCATCCTGCAGGTCTTCTGTGTTGTGTAAACTGGTTGATTTGTATGTTTCTCATAATTAGGTCACATGCATCTATCTATGTCCCCAACACACAACATGTTACCTGACACCCCACATATGACATGCTAAAAACAAGCCCTGAGTGGTGGCCTATAGTGGTTTAGATTCTGGACTTCTGTCTGAAAGGTTGCAGGTTAAATCCCAGACGTGTAATTAAAAATGAATGTGAGTGATTAACTCGCCATCAGCCAATTAGAGTGTCTGTCAGCAGGCGTCTATAGCTTTAGATCCATTAGAAGCATTAAAATACATTGGAAATGGTTATAAACTAACCATTAGATTGTCAAACAATAATGATGTTAGACTGATAAATCTGGGTAAAAGGCATTAATTTGATCACAAATGGATGGATTATAATCCTGTAGTGTAAGGCATCGTTTTGTCACAGTTGCAATGTCTATAGCGAGAAATGAGAACTTAAAGCTATTATATATATAAAAAAAATTTGTATAATAAGTGAGTACACCATGAATCCATTTTCCAAACTGTGTTTTTGGCTTATCCTGAATCAGTACGGTACACCTATATTAAGTGTTTATATTCGGACTATTTTAGACTGGTTCTGGTGGAACCGCTGCGGAGTAGCCCCGATACCTGCGTGATTCGTCATAGACATAAACGGAGAGAAGTAGCTCCGGCTACAATGTTCTTCCGCAAGACGCACGCAGTTCTGCTTATTAACCGCTAGAGCGCCAAAAGTTACGGACTGCAGCTTTAACACACCTGATTCAGACCACCACTAGCCTGTATTGCATCAGCTTTCATTTCCAAAGGATCACATATAAGAACAGCAGGGAGCCTACATTTACTAGTGTTTATTAACCGCTAGAGCGCCAAACGTTACGGACTGCAGCTTTAAGTTGCAGTTGTTCTTGAATTTGCAGATCAACTTTTGCAGACAATTGGACAAATTCAAGCACTGTTCATCTTTATCAGGTTTACGTCGAGAGCTTGTTTTCAAATAGTGGGAAGAAATGGTTATAAACTAACCATTAGATTGTCAACCTTTATGTCAATGTTGTTAGACTGATAATTCTGTGTAAAAGGCATTCCTCTGAAATGGATTAAAATGCTCAGAGGCCCCCTTGTGACGCAATTGCAGTGTCTCAATAGCAAGAAATTATATTGCAGTTGCAAAATCTGAAGCCACAAATACAATAAATAAAATTGCAATTATGTAAATAAATGTATATAAAACATTGCAAAAAACTGCAATAAGGTGTTCAGACGTTGTTATTAATGCTGAGGGACCAGGAACAGATAACATTCCTTATTTCCTAATTAATGTCAACTTGTGCTGACAGACATTGGCACACATTCAAGCAGTCTTCGTTTATATCATTTTAGTAGCTTGTTTTTGAGTGTTGCACAATAGCGGGCCCCAAGCAGTCAAATTTAGTACCGTAGTCAGTATTGGTATTCAGTTTTTGATTATTCATCAGTAATGCGTGCATTCATTCAAATTACACACAATGATTTAGCTATATAACATTTTGATTGATTGACTTGGCAGTTTATTTAATTTGCTAATCAGCTTAACTTAAATTTAAACATGTATTTTTACTTCCATAAACAATTTAAATTTCGTAAATGTTGAATCTAGTCATTGTTAAAATAGCCAATCGTTAGTGTAAGACTGAAAAATAAACGAAAGAGAAATTTTGACAACAAAAATGTTATATGGACCGTAATTGTTGATGCAAAATCTGGGCCCATAATATACACAGTTTTTATGCATGATTATTAAGGCAATTATTTTTGCATTTTATTTAATCATTGGTGTCTGTCCTTTTCAACCTGCGATTAGGGTCTTTTGCATATTTCTTCAGTGTTTGTGGGAAGGTCAATGGCAGTGTTCTTCATCTTCAAACTTCTTCATGTTGCCAGTATAAACAACTACGGCTTAAGACGTTGTACGTCCTGGTCATGAAGAAACTGGGTCCTGCAAGCCTACATGCGTCTATTTAAAAAGCATATTTTCTTATAATATTGAGTTATTTGAGTGAAAGAGTCTCGTGGTATCTTGACATGCTTTGCATGATTTGTTCATAACTGAACTTGTTTTCGTTTTCTTAGGTCAGACAGAAGGGGTTTTGTCAGACCGTCGGCTGGCTGCAAGCAATTCCTAAATTAGTTTAGACATTTATGCCAAAAACCAAAACTGAAGAATATTTGTCACATACATTCCAAAATAAAATCACAGTCACAAGTTATAGGCTAAGGGTAGTCGGATGGTGCCAGGTACATTGTGCCCACTCTAAACATGCTCATATGATTGGATAGACGCTGGCAAAAACACGTCAGCAAAACATGAGTCTGTTTTCTTTCTGGGTAGACTCTGTGCCCTTGACCCTATCCTATCTTGCTGTTTCTAGAAGGACTTGTGTTGTGGTTATGATACACTAAACGTTTGTGACGTCAATACTCAAGCGCATATTGATGCTATTGCTAACATAGGATCACATGTCTAGTTTAAGATAATGCAGTAATCTAGTTTAAGATTATACAGTTCACACACTGATGGGACTTTACTGAAGTAATGTGATTAAATGCGAAATAAAAAAGCACAAGCATCCCAAGGCCAAATTTCACTGTGCTGCGCTGCACGTTGAACACCATAACAGAAAGTCGCCCACTGATTGGTGCCCAGGCAACACACCCCTGCTCTGCCCACCTACTTAATTTAGTCCGATAAATTGCGTGTGTGTGTCTATGGTCACCTCGCTAGTCCTGACTGAGCTGGAATGTCAATCGATGGCACCGTTAACCTTACCCAACCCTGCTGTCAGTTGAAGCTATCAGGATTTATTTAGATGTGATTTTTCCATACAGATGTATGGAAAAACCCATAGTTTAGATGTTTCCTGCAGACCGTCATGTGGATGATGCCGTTCAAGAAGAAAATCGCAGATTTCTCATGTGCGCTCTAAAAAACATTTGCGGTATTAGAGATCTTATGAAAGGTTTGTGAGTAAAACACCTCAGTTTCATGATGTCATGAAGTATATGTAACATAAATTGTTTACAGTTGTGTTGTTGGTCTTTATGTGAGGCATCTTGAAATTGTTGCCATGTATTGCAATCCCGCATTGAACCATTACTTATAAATCTCTTCCAAAATACCTTCATAGCATTTGTGGTCTTTCAGCATTCTTACAGCATGGCTAGAGGCAGACCTTTCAACATGTCTGATGTCACACCAGTAGAGCAGTTTAGACCAGCTCACTCAGGGAATGCTGGGTATCTGAATGAGGTCCAACTGGACAGCAGACCCTCAGGAACGGCTTGTGCTCGGATTACACTGATTCACCTCAGGACAGAAACTAGGAATCGACTAAACGGTACAGCTCCTACTAGTCGACACTGAAAACAATAGTCGATTACACGACAGAAAAAGAAAACAAAAATTATCATTCAAATTACCGTCATTTTAGCATTGCATTTAACACATTTTAAATAACAAGTTAAAATAAAACGTTTGAAAAAGAATATTTGTAATATTATAAACATATTAAAATATTAAAAACATTATTTGTAAAAGTTTATCTGGGCGGAAACTACATTTTTACCTCAGACCTCACATGCGTTTTCTTCGTGGCAGTTGGGTCTCGTGTTGTTTCCACCAGCGCTGCAAAATGTTTTTTTTTTTCATCACTAATTGAGGGATGTCTAAAATATAAAAATAAGGAGAAGCCTAAAACAAGCCCGATGCCGGACCCGCGTCTTAACTATGACGTGAAAATTGTCCCGAAGCCCAGCCCTAGGGGCGTAAAAAAATCGAAATGCAAGGCTCTAGTTCAGGCAAAAGGAACCCCATACTATGCAGCAATCATCCTTAATTGCAGAAATGTGGCAAAACATCTCTGGAGAGAACCTCAGATAGAAAATCATTGTGCATTTGTTTAAGAAAACAACAACAACAAAAATGGACAGTCATTTTACTGATCCTGTCCTGGGCACAGCTTTAAACCTGAACTCTGGTTGTCTTTACTCAGTCACACTGCTAATCTAATTTTAATGAACTTCCGGTGCTTAGATGTGGGAAATTTGGCTAAAGTTTGTGTTTGCTGTTTCAGCAACAGGTTTGTTCCAGTCAGGCCCTCATGCCACGCTTGCGTGATTAAAATGACAACAGTTAAAGGTACAGTACTGCTCGAGTGACTCTGCTAAGCTGCTTCCACGTTTCTGTTTTCCAAGACAACCTCTGAAGGACCCTGGGACAGAAAGAAAAGGTCGCCACCTCCACGTCTGTGGAACTTTCTATTTAAGTGTAGCATGACAGGAAGTGACTCCTTATGTCCCCTTTGCTGTTTAGATGTGAGCTCCAAAGAAAGAAAACTGGGTCATGATTCACAGTAGATTAATTTATAGACTCAAACTCTGTGTTAAGGAACATCTTTTGAAACCAGAGCCTCTCAAGATACAAGTTACACAATTACAAGCAGATAAATTACAGTCAAGCTACTATTTAAAGAAAAAGTGATTAGCTATGCTACGTGTTTCTAAGAAAATCTAGCTAACTATATTTGGTAACTACAAGCTCTGTGAACATATACATATATATGAGTGTGTTTATATGTGTGTTAGTGTGTGTTTTTTCAATGTTTTTTTTATTTTATTTATATTTCTCAGAGTAATAAATATTTAGCCAAAAACAATGAAGAATCTCAATTACCTTGCTAAAAATAGCTTAAATCAGCCTTAACCGGTTCGCTAGTTTTAGCTCCCAGCTTGAATAGGCAGGTCTATTTTACTGGTTCAGACTGACTGAAAGCAGCTGAGTTTCTTTCATACTGCTGGAAAAAAATGTAGTGGTGTAACAACTTTTAGTTAGTTACTCCCAAGAAGTTATAATAATAATAATTATTATTATTACTATGTGAGAAAAGATCAAATTTACTGCTTCACATATGTAGTGTTATGGTAGCTTCATGCATAGAGAGATTCACTTACATTCATTTACAAATTACCTTGCAAATTACCTGAGCTTGTGAACAGATCTTAGTTGTTCTTGTGCAGTTGCATGTATTTTTGCCATTAAGTTCCGCTCTCGATTACATAATACATGTCAGTTTGTGCGAGTATGATAGATTATCCCCCAGTAGGCCTCTCCAGCTCTCTGCCACCAGTCACATTTTATGGATTTCTCTCCATGTTACTCAACACTTGGGAAAAGAGTGCAGCTGTATGAACTTATTGACTGTAGAACTGCCGCCCATTTGTATGTACAGTACAGTACATTTTGACACTTGGCCTTCGGGAGTCACAATATGCTTTTCATTCACGAGGTTTGGTTGCGGTTCAGAATATAGCGTCGTTTTTCTCTTGCAGTGTCATCAGATATGTACTGGGTTTGTTTTTAGTGCTTGGCTTGAAGTTGAAGTGAATATGGGTCAGTGCTCTACATGTTTTTAGGCCCTTAAATCACTGGACAGCTACTATTTTCACCACAAATGTGCTGGTTTGTGTCCTGGAGCTTTAAAAAAGCAAAAAAGGACAATGTTAGCAGTGCAAACACTCATATCTGGAGGAAAATATCTGGAAATATCTGGAAAATACCCAGTTGCTTTGGTCAAACTGGGAAGGGGTAACCGCATTTACCACTATATGATTGCTGTTGCATTTTTGTTCATCTCTGGAAATAAAGTTTAAGTGAAGTAGGATTCCTTGAGAAAAATAAAAAGTCAAGATTTACTCACTCTAAATCGATATGACTTTTTATGGAACAAAAATATATTTTGAAGAATGTTCACACGAAATGTTTTGAATTTCATTCAAATGTGACAGAAAATGTCGATATGGTCACTGATAAATATTATAGTGCATCCCTAAACATTTGGCATCATACATTTGACAATGTATAAACTGCCACTTTCTCAAGTTCATTACTTCGTGTGTTTTTTCCCCCCCTACAGATAAGCGACACTTCTGAACAGTATTCTGAACATTGTGAATCCTCTGCGTTTGTGGGTGAACCAGAAACATTGTGAAAGGAGAAACTCTGAGAAAACGAGGCACAAAAAGAAGCTGTCGTCAAATCAAATCAATGATGGTTTTGAAAAAGCTTCTGCGTTTCGGGAAACAGCTGCTGAGGGTGAAGGTTGTCGACTGCAACTCGGGGGATTCGCGACTCTCCCGATGCTTGAACACCTTTGACCTGGTGGCTCTTGGTGTGGGCAGCACCTTGGGAGCTGGGGTGTATGTCCTCGCTGGAGCCGTGGCCCGGGAAAATGCAGGACCGGCCATTGTCCTGTCGTTCCTCATCGCAGCCCTGGCCTCAGTGCTCGCGGGCCTCTGTTATGCAGAGTTTGGGGCGAGAGTGCCGAAAACGGGCTCAGCGTACCTGTACAGCTATGTGACTGTTGGGGAACTATGGGCCTTTATAACTGGCTGGAACCTTATACTTTCGTATGTTATAGGTGAGATGACACACAGTATCACTTAAAGGGATGAAAATTCTGTCATTTACGCACCCTCAAGTTGTTCCAAACCTGTATGACTTACTTTCTTCTGTTGAACATGAAAGAAGATATTTTGGGGAAATGGGTAACCAATCAGTAGATGGACCCCATTGACTTCCAAAGCTGGAAACATGTACTATGAAAGTCAATGGGGACCATCAACTGTTTAGTTACACACATTCTTCAAAATATCCTCTTTTGTGTTCAACAGAAGAAAGAAACTCGTATAGGTTTAGAACAACTTGACAGTGAGTAAATGATGACAATTTTCATTTTTGAGTGAACTATCCTTTTAAAGGTTATACATGTATTTGCCTATACCATATATATCTGTAAACTGTCTGTAAACTGATGTATAGTGTAGTTTTTTACATTTCCTTATGTTTTTCTTTCCTTGCTATATAATGTTACTCAATCTGAAAAACCTTCTCAGGTACATCAAGTGTCGCCCGAGCTTGGAGTGCCACATTTGATGAGCTGATTGGAAAACAAATTGAGCATTTTTGTCGACAGTACATGTCCATGAATGCTCCGGGCATTCTGGCGGAGTACCCAGATATGTTTTCCGTATTCATCATCCTTACTCTCACAGGTAAAACATGACCAGAGGACTAATTAGATAGGGAGCCATGACTGACCAATTAGAATTGAGAATTCCAGAGTATCGTACAAATTTATGTATATAAATATTCATTTCAAAACAGTGATTGTGAAACACACTCTTCCATTCTGATAATGAAAGCTGTTGAATGTAAATATTTAGCGGATGTTCGTGTTGACTTTGTTCCGTAGTGTTTTGAACTCTGTTTTGTTTGCTATAGCCCTGCTGGCCTTCGGGGTGAAGGAGTCAGCCATGGTCAACAAAGTGTTCACCTGCATCAATGTCCTGGTGTTGGTGTTCATGGTTGTATCTGGACTTGTTAAAGGTACACTGAAGAACTGGCACCTGGACCCTGAAGAGATTCTCAATGGAACCAATTCCACCATTAAGTGAGTCATGTTTTACGACTTTGGAATATATTTTCAAGTATGTAATTGCAATTATGCCACAAAATTATATACCATTCAAAAGTTGGGATCAGTAGGATTTTTACTTTAAAAAAAAAAATAATAATAATAAAACAAGTCTCTTATGCTCACTGGCAAAACAAACTGAATTTTCATCAGCCATTACACCAGTCTTCAGTGTCACATGATCTTTCAGAAATCATATTAATATGCTGATTTAATGCTTAAGAAACATTTCTTATTATTATCAATGTTGAAAACAGTTATGCTGCTTAAAATTTTTGTATAAATCATGCCATATATTTTTCAGGATTCTTTGATGAATAGAAAGCTCAAAAGAACAGCATTTATTTAAAATAGAAATCTTTTGTAACATTATAAACGTCTTTATTATCACTTTTGATCAAGTTAATGTGTCCTTGCTGAATAAAAATATTAATTTATTTTAAAAAGAAATCTTACTGACTCCAAACTTCTGAATGTTAGCGTATATTCAGTGTATATATATATATATATATATATATATATATATATATATCATATCTCTCTCGACTGTCAAATTTCAAAAGTTATCACAAGAAAACAAGTTATATATCAGCTTTTTCAGTGTTACCTCACAAAATTTAGCCAGAAAAATAATAATAATGATTGACCTCAGTGGACTTACGTATGTTACCATATTTTATATTTTTGCTGTTCTTTTTGGGGCCATAGTTTTGCAGAAATGACACACTTCCCCTTCAAATTCAAATGGCATGTTATAATTTGTCTACATTCCTCTCTCTGAGCAGTGCTACACAGCCTCTGCCATCAAGAGAGATGCTGGGTAAAGGTGGGTTCATGCCTTTCGGCTTCACAGGGGTCTTATCAGGGGCAGCTACCTGCTTTTACGCCTTCGTTGGGTTCGACTGCATCGCAACTACAGGTAACTAAAGGCTTTCTGAAATCCAGTGCTCTAAATCACATCTAATCTTTAGAAGGCACCAGTTTTCTCCTAAAATTCTGTTGAAAAGCTCAAATATATGATGCATGTTTACAAACATGAGGTTAGTGAGTGTAAATTGTGCAAGAAGCCTATTTTGTATGCATAAATGCATGCAAGTGTTAGATTGGTACAACAGTGAGGCTGTTATGCTACCTACATATTTGGCTTGCATTCATGTCACTTTGGTCAAAGTTATTTAGAGTTTCCTTTATGTTTATAATAGTATTGCATGGATATTCTCAGTAGATCTCTACTTATGGTTTGCCTCTGGCCCCCTCTTTTATGGCGGCTCACTCCCCCACATTCCCTTGTATTCGATTGGCTAGAGTGTTTTGGGGTTTGTCTGGACTCGTCTCCTTCTCTGTAGCTGTGGTTCACATTCAGTAGCCCCTCCTCTTCCACATGCTGGTCAGGAGTGGTAATATAGCCATGTTCCTGTGCTCTCTCTGGCACTGCTGGCATGAAAACACTACTCCTCTGTTTTATGTAGTGCTCTGCACAAGGTCAAACCAAAGGAACTTTTGCCAAAAGCGAACATGCTCGCACTACTCACTGCAGCAGCTGAGTCATTTTCTTGCTCCAAGGCTTCTTAAAATGACGGATTTCACATGCAGTGTGCATTTAACTGACTTAATGGCAAGATTAAACGTGCTGTAGTTGAATGAATTTAAATATAATGTACAGTAATGTTCAAAAGTTTGGGTTCTGTAACACTGTGGAAAAAAGTCTTGTTCTCACCAAGGCTGCATTTATTTGATCAAAAATACAGTAAAAACAAAAATATTTTAAATTTTTTAAATGTTACTTATTCCTCTGATGGCAAAGCTGACTTTTCAGCATCGTTACTCCAGTCTTTAGTGTCACATGATTCTTCAGAAATCATTCTAATATGCTGAATTGCTGCTCAAGGAACATTTCTTATTATTATCAATGTTGAAAACAGTTTAATATTACTGCTTAATATTTTTGTGGAAACTGTGATACATTGTTTTTTTCAGGATTCTCTGAATACAGTAGACAGTTCAAAAGAACAGCATTTTTGAAACAGAAATCTTTTGTAACAATATAAATGTCTTTACTGTCACTTTTGGTCATTTTAATGCATTCTTGCTGAATGAACATTTTAATATCTTTAAAATCACTGAAAAAAATGTATTTCTTATGAACCTTTACAATGTTTAGTGTGAAATACAAAATATAATTGAAACAAAAATGTCTGGATTTTGTGCATATTCATATACTATATTTTATAGAAACCTTTCTCAGATTTTAATAAAAATATGATAAAGAAAAAAAATTAATTGTGACTATATTCCTTGTAATGGCAATTTTATTTATTGTAATTGCAATTTTATGATTTTTTTTATTATTGGAGATCTATATCTATATAATGTGACTTTTTCTTAAACTATCTAACAATGACCATTTTTATTTTATTTCATTTTATTTTATTTTACTTGGAAACATCCATAGTATTCGTAGAGCCACTAATTAAAAGACAACCAACTATCGGTTTTCAGTTTCACACAATAATGATCAGTCATGTCATGGGATAGGATGGGACAAAATTAAATACCCACATATCAATAATGTAAAGAGCTGAAAATAAACTGGTATCCTGTTACATTAATGTTCTCTAGGGAATAAAAAATGTCTAAGAACTCGTGTCATTTGATAGTCCGGGCATAGGTCTGTTTATGGCTCCTTTGGTTCGACCCTGTTATTTATGCTGTGACACAGCAATTAGCTACTGACATGTTGAGCTTAGTTGCTTATGTGGATGATGCAGGTTTGAGTCCAGCCTGCAACCTTTTACTGTTTCTGTTTAATAAAAACATAATATCCTGTTTCATATCACAGGTGAGGAGGTGAAGAACCCCCAGAGAGCCATTCCCATCGGCATTGTCTCCTCCCTCCTTATCTGTTTTGTAGCATACTTTGGTGTATCAGCAGCCCTCACCATGATGATGCCATATTACATGCTGGATAAGAACAGCCCTCTTCCCATGGCCTTTAAATACGTCGGCTGGGAAGGAGCCACGTACGCTGTGGCGGTAGGCTCCCTTTGCGCCCTGTCTACCAGGTAAGCACTGATCCATCCAGTCAGGGATTGTTTTAACACACACTACAGCCCAGTCTAGAGTAAAATGGCCCCTGCATGGTAGAGCGTAAAAATGAATAATTAGCCATGTTCCTCGAAATTAATGGATGTAATTACCCGCAAGCCTGGTTGCAGTTTAAAAGACTTCAGTCATTTTGATAGCGCAACTTTTAGGAAGTTGACCAACCCAATCATTAAATTTTACTAAGTGAACTCAGACAACCTTAGGGAGGTTGAGAGAGTGCAATCTGGGACTGGATTGCATGATAGTGTGTGTGTGTATATTTATCTGAGGCCGCTCATATGAACCCCTTGCTAAAAATATGAAGGGAAATTTGGTGTGCTGAGTTATGAATCCTGTTTCTCAGTTATGCAACACTTAGTCCAGGCTATGAGTGGGAGTAAGGCTGTATGCCACATTTTCTCTGTCTGTAAAAGTCAGGCAGAAATTAATTTTATAGTAATGACCTACATGCATTCGCACCAGATGTTGTTGCTCAGAAATGTTTGCAACTGTGAAGTATGAATTGTGTGTAATCTATTAAGTGAAGGAGGCTTCTGCATGATCTGTCCAAGTCCTAAACTTATTATTCTTCTAACAACCCGTCTAACTTCTGAGTCACTAATGATAACCTCAGTAGCTGCAGGGTTGAAGTAGATTAATTGGCTTTTTTCTTTTTGGTTTCCAGTTATTGCAGTATTTTCAGTATTAAATACTGTTTTGGAATCCATTCAAAAGTGAAGTGTGTAATTTTATATCTTCAAATATCTACCTACTTTTGACTATCGGCATGAAGTCTGGTCCACTTTGCAGCTTATTGTTGAGAACTGTCGCCGATTTAGACACAAACAGATTGCTTGAACAATGTGTAACCAACCACATTACATTTTTTTCTTACTGTTAAGGAGAGGATTCATCTGATATAAATGATACCAAAACAAACAAACAAACCAAAAAAAACCCACATATATATACACAACGTGTGTGTCTATACACATAACTTATATAATGTTTATAACTATAACTCTAACATTTTATATTAATCTTTCTACTTCTATGAGAATAGGGAAGGCCATATCACAACTATAATATTAACGGCACAGAGGAACAATTGTTGAAATCACTTTTAGAATGATGTTTTCCAGCCGATGAACGATAAAAATATTAACAGCCTATCAAAATCCACCCGACGTTGTGTAAAAGCAGCCAATTAAATTAGAAGTGTTTTTGAAGTATTTGTAGGCTGATTTCCCAGAAGAGCAAATTCTGTGGCTATGTAGCACTTTCAAAATATTTCTCTGTTCGTTTAAGCGGTCATCTGAGGCGGAAGGGGTGGGAAATGAATATGGAAACTATCATTATTTTTGCAATGCCACTTGTTCCCACTAGTACTTCAGAAATTACATGCTTCACCTTTAAAATCATCCTCTGAATGATTGAAAATCCATGCCAAGAGATTTTTCTGAGTGGTCTAATATCACTTCTGATTGGTGGGGGGTGGCCTATTTGTGGCATGTTTCTCTCTTATAAAAACACCACAGCAGTGTATGAATGCACTATGTCTGTGTCTCTGTTTTGCATGGCATGGTTTGTTTTCTCCATCTCTCGCGGCAGCCTGACAAAAACACCCATACACGCCACTATAACAGCAGGCTTTGTCGCAGGTGAGCGAATTTTAAAGCTACTAATCTACTGACGTCGCGTTACGTTCGCAGTATTGCGCAGCCGTCCACCTGGAGCATGTTGCATGGAAAAACAGCGTTTTCACCGCACTGAACCTATATCTGGAATGGGCCGGATGGCACAGCCTGTCCCCGACAGCTATGACGGGATTCATTTAACTGTTTTCTTCGTAAATAAACTGGATGTATCCCCTTTCTGCCTTTGACACCACCTCTGGCAGCTGCCCAGTTGGCTTATGTGTTTCTTTTCTGCTCTCTTCCTTTTTTTGATCATCCCATGATCAGTCTCTTGGGGTCCTTGTTCCCCCTCCCACGTATAATGTTTGCCATGGCCCGGGACGGTCTGCTCTTCTCGTTTCTGGCACGGGTGAGCGAGAAGAAGACGCCCGTCGTGTCCACTCTGGCCTCCGGGGTCATTGCTGGTAAGAGCAGAGGGCATTGTGGGATTGGAGGGTTGAGCTCCTGTGGGCTGCTTTTGTTGCTGTTAGAAACATCAGCCTGTGCATATCTATAGGGAGGACGCTGGAAACTCACTGTTTATAAAACACACAGCAGTTACATGTAATTGGTAGTACTAAAGGTTTTTTTGTTTTTGTTTTCTTTTCTTTCTTTTCAAAATGATTCCAGTAGTTACATGGAATAGAAACTTGTAAGACAGACTTTGCTGTGTTGGAATTATTTGTTTTATTGTGCAAACATGACATGTGATACCATGATGTCAGTTTTACCATACTAAAGAGTCTGTTGACTTTGTGAATAGTTTTGTGTATTTCTGTTTCGTGCATTGAAAGAGTTTAATTGCTTATGCTTTTAGCACTTTCCTTGAATAGGGTACGAATACAGGACACTTTTTTATTATTACTTAGATTTTTTTTTTGTTTTTTAAGAAATCACTTAGCCTTCAGAAAGGAAGGCTAAACTAAACTAGAAATTATTTTACTAAAAATTATTTCTTTATAATTAATACAATTTTTATTTTATTTTATTTTATATTGCATATTTTTATATAATATCTTGAAGTTGTCTCTAGAGAACATGCCATTTGTGCCTTTTTTTATTTTAACCCATGAATCAAAAACCTACATGCATAAAGGCGGTTCAAATTACCTGTTTTCACTTCCCCAATTTCTCAGATATTATTAAAATGATCTTTGGTGACAGAGACAGAATACTTCAGATATCATTATTATTATTATTATTATAAAAAAAACATTTGCAAAAACTACCATGTTTAATAAATCCATGGGAAATAAATACAGGTTATTTTATATAAAGGTTAATACAGGTTATCCCCTTTATGCAGTCTCAGAGTAGTGTTGTTGGTGTTTTTTTCTCTCCTATTTTCCTATTCTATGAAAAGGAAGTATGAAAATGATACTGAGTTTTTTTTTTTTTTGTAGGAATTCATGAAACATATTTTGAAGGTTAAAAAAGGTGGTATTATTTTATATCCTATTTGTGGTCAGTTTTTTATTTTATTTTACAAATGTTCACATCTATTTAATATTACAAATGGGCTTTCAAACATGTTGATGCATGTTTCGTAACAGCTGATAATCCATGAATAATGACTCTTTTGATTATAAAAATATTTGTTTTTTATTTATTTAATTGTTCACTGTTCACTGACAAACAAGACATAGGAGTAGGAGTATTTTGAGGGAATAATGTTTATGTATTTGTTATATTTTCTTTACCTAGAACCTTTACCTACCTCTACATAGAACATATAGCTTTGAATCCTTATTAAACTGCTTATTGTAAATATCATCCTATCATCAAAACAGATGACCATAAATCGATCCTTTCCATTCCTGTGCAGCTATTATGGCTTTCCTGTTTGACCTGAAGGACCTGGTTGATCTGATGTCTATAGGAACTCTTTTGGCCTACACGCTGGTCGCTGCCTGTGTTCTAGTACTCAGGTTGGCAGATGCATGTGAAATTAATGCATTTAAATATTTGTGTCGTTACAGTTTGGCTGTTAATTGTAAAATAATATTGTGATCTACAGGTATCAGCCCGAGCAGTTTTCTCAAACATATCACATAGCAAACACACAGGACGAGATGGAAATGAGCGAGACCATAAGTACGCCTAGCATGGGGATTCTTCCCGGCATAGAAGAGCGTTTCAGCTTCAAAACACTGCTCTTCCCCGACATCACTGAACCCTCCAACCTTTCAGGCTTCACTGTTAACGTCTGTACGAGTCTGCTTGGTATGAAATCCACATTAAGACAGATCCTGTTTTTAAGGTGCTTTAGTACTTTATTCACCTGTTTTCTGGAGGTTTCTAAACTGCATCTTTTCCAGGTCTGCTGATCTTCAGCTTTAGTCTGATGGCCGTCCTGGGTGGAAGTGCAGTGTGGAATATTGTCATTCTCAGTGTTCTGTTCAGCGTGTGTGTCATTGTCACATTTATCATCGGGAGACAACCTGAGAGTAAAACCAAGCTCTCTTTTAAGGTTAGACCTCATAATGCAAAAGCACATCTAACAGAGCACCAGGATGTGGTCAAACCCAATAAAATCAGTACTTTTAGAGGTAGATTTTCTATTTATAGATTTAGTTTCATTTAATCTAATGTTGATTATTAATTATTAAATGCAAGAAGCCAAATACTGTTTTCTGTTATGTGGTTCACTGACAAGATGATTTTTTTGTTTTGTTTTGTTTCCAGATCTATTAATTTATTTTTTTTAAATGTGATTCATACACACAATTACTTGAACGGTCCTTTTTTAAAATATTACTTTTTTTTTTTAAATGGCAGGGGAATTCAACTGTCCTGATATTACAATGAAGAATATATTATTTGTGAATATATTGTTTTTCATTATATATTTTAACCTGGTGTTTTAACTTTTAAATAGTTTAACTTTACGGTTTATGAATATTTAAAAACTTTTTTCACTTTAATAAATAAATTGTAAAAAAAAATGTAAATGTTCGATTAAAAACGAAAATTAATTCTAATTAAATATGTTTGTTGAAGTACTACAATTACTAAAACTAAAACAAAAATAAATTAAAGCTAAATAGAAATATGAAAAAAGCTAATAAAAATGATAAAAGCGCAGAAAATTACTTGTTAAAATTAAAACTGAAAATATAAAAAGACAATTCAAAATATTAATAAAAACTATAATAGCATAGAAATAGGATTAAAGTAACAATGAAGCCAAGATTAATACAAGATGAATAGATTTTTAGATTTTTTTTTCCATTTCTTTATTGTAGACACTCACTGACCATTACACCATTACCATGACCATTACATATAATTACACATTCCAGTCATTTTTAATAACAAATATTTTTTTACATGTCTTCCAACAGGTTCCTTTACTTCCATTCATCCCAGTGGTCAGCATGTTTGTCAATGTGTACCTGATGATGCAGCTGGACAGGGGTACCTGGGTACGATTTGCCATCTGGATGTCTATAGGTAAAGCACATGTTCCTGCATGAGCCTGTATGCATGACAAAAAACTAGGGATGCACTGATGTATCGTCCGCCGATATTTATCGGCCGATTTTTCCTCAATTTACAACCATCGGCATATCGGCTATATAAGGGAAAAGGCCGATATAACAAACCGATGGTTTATTAATTAACTGCGTGAAGGCACTGAGCTTAATAAACTGACAAACTTTAAATCCGAAGAACTGCATGCTTTCATTACCCATATAGCTCCGTATAGGGATGGGCGTATCAATCCTAAGTATCGATATATCGATACTGACACGAGTATCGAAAGTATCGATACTCAAACTAAAAATATCGATACTAAGGTGTGTTTTATTTACCAGTGATTTTGTTTATTTAAAATAATAATAATAATGCGTACAAATGCATTGAATTGGACGAATAACCTTTGTTAGTGAGTAATTGTGTAGGATAGAACTATTTTCCTGCTCATCTGAACACACGCAAATGTTGCAAGACAGAACCAATCCATCACAGAGCGCATTCACTCACTTCTGACAGTGCATTCAAACAGGGCTGCGTTTCCAAAAAGTATCATAAGAAAGCATTAAAGCTTTTGGGAACAGCAGCCCTGAACAATGCTTATCAGAGCACAGAAAAAAACATATGTTTGAGTTATTTCACAATAAACAAATTGAAATCGTAGCCTACATAGTTTGTACAATTACATTTATTTAAATTGAACGTTGAAAGACAATATAGATCATGTTCTATTCTGTAATGTTAATAGAAATCATACAC